GACAATTTTGTCACAATGACAACCACCACTACCACCCCACTGCTAGTTGTTGTAGGCCAAAGAGAGGCCTTTTTTCCAAATGAACTTGATCTGGAAGTAGCATTAGGTAGTTTTTATTAAATTAGAGAAAAAGAAATCAATTAGATTGATGTTAATTCTTCTCTCCCTCCCATCACCAGAAGGAAGTTTTTACTGTTCAACAGAATATTACATTTATAGTTGATTTATAGTTATAGACAGAACTGACAATGTGAAGTTAAAGGCTTTCACGGCCGGCATCCATGGTTTTTTGTGGGCTTTTAGGGCTATGTGGCCATGTTCTAGAAGATTTTATTCCTGACGTTTCGCCAGCATCTGTGGCTGGCATCTTTAGAGAATGCTGGCATGGAAGTGAGTGGTGTGTGTGTGTGACACACACCACTCACTTGGTTGAGAGAAGGTAATTTTCATGTTAACCTGTGTGCTGTTCTGTTGTTGAATGGCAAGGCCTCAGGGTGGGACGATGTGCAAGGAGGCATTGTGTCTAATAAGTGATCCATTGTCTGCTGGGAAATCCCTGACCCTGGGTGGTTTTCCTTTGCACATGCTGGGTCTTGATTTGGGTGTTTTTCAGGACTGCCAACCAGACTTTGGGGGGATGCAGACGGCGAGAAATACTGTCCTCAATCCCAGGAAGGAGAGGGGCAGCTGGACGCTGGGCGCCCCATCCCCTTCCTGAGGACGTCATCGGAGCGATGGCCCATCCATACAACGGGCGCTCCGATGACATCCTTCTGGCTCAGCATCCAGACATGCTGAGCCGGAAGAGATGCCGAAGAGGCGCGCCACGTCTCTTGCGGCGCCCCTTTCGCAGGCGGAGAAAGGGAGGATCGAGGCCGAGGTGTCCGGCAGCCTCAGCCTTGATCCTCCGCTTTCGGGGGCAGCCCAGGGCCGCCCGTCTGCGTTCCCCCTTTCTTTACTTTAAGGGTTTCTTTCCTGTTGAAAATGTCTAGATGTTTGTGGATTTCAATGGCTTCCCTGTACATTGCCTGTGCGTGCACTATCAGGTCAGAATGCACGATGAAACCATTGACATCCACAAACACCTAGACAATTTCAACAGGAAAGAAGAAACCCTTAAGCAAGTATGGAAGAGACCAGCAAGTATGGAAGAAAGAGAGAGCTAGACAAGTGTAATACTATAGTGGTTTGAGTGTTGGACAGAAATCCAAAATACACTGCAGAAATAATCCAGTTTGAGACTGCTTTAACTGCCCTGGCTCAATGTTTAGGGTATTATGGGATCTGTAGTTTTGTAAGGCATTTAGCCTTCTCTGCCAGAGAGCTCTGGTTTCACAACAAACTACAATTTCCAGGATTCCCTAGCACTTCTCTGAAGATGCCAGCCACAGATGCTGGCGAAATGTCAGGAATAAAATCTAGAACATGGCCACATAACCCAAAAAAAAAACACCCAAAAACCACAAAACTGACAATCTCGCAGAACAATTCAAAACTACTAAGTGTTCAGTAGTCTTCAATGAGACGTTAGTATGTCTGTAGTAGGGGTGGATGATGGTAGCACTTCAGGTATTGTTGGACTTCAGTTCTGATACATTCTCACTATTGCCTATGCTGTCTAGGGCTGGTAGCAGTTGAAGAACATCAGGAGAGCTCTAGTTGATATATAGGCCTGTATATGTGCCTTCAAGTCGCCTGTTGTTACTGAATGTATTTCATAGGGTTTTCCTAGGCAAGAAATACTCAGAGGTGGTTTTGCCAGTTCCTTCTGCTGAAGTATAACCTTAAAACACCTAGTAGTCATTGGCAGTCTCCCATCCAAGTACTAACCAGAGCTGACTCTGCTTAGCTTCCAAGATCAGATGAGATCTGATGTCTTTAGAGTATTTAGGCCCCATTATATAGGGTTGTATGCCTTCAAGTAATTTCTAACTTATGGTGACCCTAAGGCTCCTATCAAGGGATTTTCATGGTAAGATTTGTTCAGAGGAAGTTTGCCATTGCCTTTCCCTGAGGCTGAGAGCATGTGGCTTGTTCAGGGTCACCCAGTGGTTTCATGGCTGAGCTGGGAATTGAACTCTAGTCTCTAAAATCATAGTGCAACACTCAAACCACTAGTCCATGCTGGTTACCAAGACATAAATCCCAGTGAATAAAGTAAGACTTACTATTTATTTAGGTAATTCAGCATATGCCTTTCTAAGTGGACTTACTACATGTGCAGGAAATAGAATTGAGTAGTTCTGCAAGGTCTGTATTCACTTAGGGACTACACAGAAAGAATAACTAGGGAGAAACTGACAACATACTAACTTAGGGACTGCCATGATGTTACAACGAGCAGGCATCCATTGCACAATGGTAGTCGTAACAGGACCATGGTGTAGTCACTACTACGCCATGGCCCTGGTATGCAATGGGCACTAATACTCATCATGGCAGTCCTGAGATGGATCTGGACATTGACTAGGAAGTGGAGTACAACAGGAGTGACCAATGTGCATCGGAATTGCCTGATGTACACCAGAACACCTTTACTAGTCCACATCTTTGCAACTCTTTTAACAGAGTTTTGTTGCATTTCTGCAACATAGCTATGGATTCATAAAGTTATGAAATGCAGACTGTGATGTAAAATCTCAGCCTTCACCTAAAATAGTCTCATGGCCCAGGCAGCACTGGACACCAACCTAACACCAGAAACCTTTTGGGTTCCTAATCTTTGCACATGCGATAGGTTTGCCTTAGATCATGAGTTTCCAATCTTTTCTGTGCCCCACACTCTTGGGAAATGTTTGGTTAAAGTTTGCACTCCCTACTAAACCAATACCACATTTGAAGATGAAGAATTCTAATTTCTAACTTTTGAACCACACAAATTGAGCCACATACAATATTGCAGGGGAACAAATAGAACTGTAAAAAGCAAGCTCTTAACTCCGTGGATAAAAGGCAAATCTAAATTGAGCAATTGGGTTCTAATTTATTCAGAAAAAAAATGGATGATGATTTGTGACTCGTCACTCAGGGGCACAAGCCATTCTTTGTTGCACCCCCTGAAATTTCATCTCGCATCCCCAGAAGTGACTTGAAGGCACACAACAACAAACAACAATTCTTCCTGTGCTCTTGTTGGTTATTGCATGGTTTTTGCTTCCATTTGAACAGGAGTCATTTTTCAGATTTATTACTTCAATAAATTATGAATAGCACTGTGCCTTTCCAAATATGATGCTCATGGTTCCAATTCATCATGTTCGCCAGAGGAAATCTTCATACTCTTCAATGTATGATGGGTTTTTTTAGCCACTAGGTGGTGCAAACATTCATATATTGTGTTGCAATGCCATTGATGTTCATCAGTGTGGCACATACATGCCTGGCCTTTTTTTCTTAAGTCAAGTTCTCCTTTTATTTTACTATGCTTCTTAGAGAAGTATACATAAGTTCAAACACCCATGACAAAGACTAACAAAGGAATTTTTGTTTTGGTGAAAAATGGCTTTCTTTGCCTTGACAAATTCCAAGACCTTATGAGAAGTCAACACTTAAATGTCATGTAATGCTGGATAATCAAATACTCCTAAAGTTTGTTGTTATTGCAGGGTGCTTTCTTTCTTTCTTTCTTTCTTTCTTTCTTTCTTTCTTTCTTTCTTTCTTTCTTTCTTTCTTTGTTTTTATATACTCTTTATTATTTCCATCTGTTATGATAAGAAACACGTATCATATTACATACATTCATTCTTAAACATAAATAAACATAAATGAACATTGGAGGGGGAAAACAAAGACGTAAACTATACATACATACTCTATTAATTACAAACAACCAGTTCATACGGACCTCTAACTACAATACATAAATTAAAATGACTTCCTTGTTTTGTGGATCATTCCCTTATATCAGGGACAGGCAACCTTTTTGAGACCTGGGCCAGTCTCACGTAGCCCAGATCTCGGCTGGGCCAAGGGGGGGGGGAATGCTGCCATCGCGGCCTTTGTTGCCAGTGGGCCGGGGGGGATGGTGCGGGGGCTGGTTGTACGGGGGTTGGGGGTGCGCGTGCCCGCCCGCCCACCCCTCACAGCCACCATGGGGCCGTTCCAAACCTCCCCCCCGCCCTGATCCTTCGGCGAATTCGCCTCAGGATCGAGCGAAGGCACCTTGGAGGACCATTGCCAAAGTGCCTCTCCTTGATCCTGGGGTAAATTCGCTCGAGGATCAAGAGGAGGAACCTTGGAAAGGTCCCCCCAAGGCCCCCCTGCCCTGATCCTTGGGTGAATTCGCCTCAGGATTGAGCGGGGAGGCCTTGGAAAGGTCCCTCCAAGGCCCCCCCGCCCCGATCCTTGGGTGAATTCACCCTGGAATCCCGTCGCCACCGAGGGTCCCCCTGGGGAGGCTTCCCTCGGCGGCGACAGGCCTCCTCCTGAGCACCGCGCACGCTGCCGGCGCCGTGGCCGCCATTTTGTTCTCCAAAATGGCGGTCACAACGCATTTGCGCATGCGCAGTAATCTTCCGCATGCGCAAACACGTTGTGGCCACCATTTTGGAGAACAAAATGGCGGTCGCAGCACGCGTGGCCGGGCGGTGGCGGCGCCAGGGGTCCGCCTGGGCCGGTAAGTCCGGCGACCTGGGCCGGAACCGGCCCGGGGGCCATAGGTTGCTGACCCCTGCCTTATATAATCTAACATAATTTCACATCACTTCTTATTCTTGATTTTTTTAAAAAAAGAAAATATTTATATAACTTCTATATTATTATTTTTTCCTATTACAACGAAAATCACCTGCTATAATTCAATCCCATCGTATAACAAAAACTTTTGTTTCTTGCATATAAGTTATTGCTGGGTGCTTTCAAGTCATTTCTGATTTATGGTGACCCTAAGGTGAATCTGTCATGGGGTTTTCTTGGCAAGATTTGTTCAGAGGAGGTTTGCCCTTACCTTCCTCTGAGGCTGAGAGGATGTGACTTGCCCAAGGTCACCCAGTTGGTTTCCATGGCCAAATGGGAATTTGAGCCCTGGCCTCCAGAGTCTTAGTCTAATGTTCAAACCACTACACCATGCTGTCTCTCTGAAAGAGGAGTAGATACAGCTTATTATGGAGGAACAGAAAAAGTGGGAGAAAATGCTATACCACACTGGCAAGCTACATGATTAAAGGTTTTAGAGATCACTTTTAGCTTTTCAAATAAAATCTTTAGTGCCCAATAGCTGAACAATAAAAATCAGTAAATAGTTTTGGTGGTTCCTTTGTTCCTCTATTCAGCTAAAAGAAAAAAAAAAACTGTGACATTTTAAAAATGTCTTTTAATATGATCTCATAAATAAGTCATTGTTGAATAGTAAGTGTGCATAGGGGCCCTTGGAACAGCCTCATCTACAATCCACATTATATGGCGTAGGTGGTTTATGAACTAAACTTCAAAGAGGTGGAACTACTAAGTGTTTAATTGTGTAAAGCTGCCAATAGCAAAATGTTAAATTAAACAGCTCCTTTTCTAGAGTGCTAAGTAATACATGTTAACAGAGAAGTAAATCCCACTGCATTCAAAGAGAATTACTTTTGAATAAATGTACGCCAGGGGTAGGCAACCTTTTTGAGCCGGGGGCTGGGTTGCTGTCCCTCAGACAATTGGGGGGGCCAAAGCACCAAAAATAAACAAATAAATAAATAAATATAAAAATATATTTTTTAAAAAAATAAAAATGTAAAAAAAATATATGCATGCACACTCTCTCAGCCCCAGAAAAGCCATGGCAAAACCCTTGTGGAGATTTTGGCCAAGAAAACCCCAAGAACAAGTAATAACAACAATAATCAATATAATTATGGCGGGCGGCAGCAGGACCGGCCTGGGGCCAGTCGGGGGGGCCGCATGCGGCCTCCGGGCCTTAGGTTGCCTACCTCTGATATACGCTATGAGAGAGCCAGAGTGGTGTAGAGGTTTGAATATTAGACTATGACTCTGGAGACCAGGATGTGATTCCCTGCTTGGCCATGGAAATCCATTGGGAATCTTGGGGAAATCACACTCTCTAAGCCTCAGAGGAAGGCAAAGGCAAATATCCTCTGAACAAATCTTGCCAAGAAAATCCCAGGCTTTGGGTCACTTTAGGGCCACATAAGTCGGAAATGACTTAAAGGCACACAACAACAACAAATGTATGTAGGAGAGCCAGAATGTTGTAGTACCTTTAGTTTTAAAAGTGCACCGAAAAGCACGAAGCTATTGGAAAATGTACTATCACTGTGAAATGTTTATGCATATCTGCTATAATTGCATCCGCTGCCATAGGAATGCAAAAGTAGAGAGGAGTAGCTGAGGTGCTAAGATCCTAGCCAGCTCATCTTAGACTGTTTATAGCAAAACAATAAACCTGTTACCAATGGAGAACAGTAGAGATTCCTATCTCCAGTAGTGCTGACACAGTGAAGTGTGTACAGAGCCAGGGCTATGCGAACAGGAAGTGATTTCCTACTTGGTTGTTGTACTCTTTAAGTGAGGGATGAATGGGACCCTGCTATTGTCTCTGTCACAAACTGCCTACCTATCCAGACACCTGGTTTTCCTTCAGGTCAAGGAAATGTCTCTCACACACACATATTACATGGAGAAAGCCTACTTCATATTGATTGGCCAAACACTAAGATTCTTTGTTCAATATTCTACATTGGGGTTTTATTGTTGGGGGGGATATTGTTGTTAGGGGTTTTTTTATATATATTTTATGTTTTGTATTTTTATATTACTTGTT